AATAATAGCTTCATCCCTAGTTCGACTTATTATTGCATATTTTTCCGCCGCGTTTAACTATTTCCTCCCAATTCGCGTTTTTGCTTTTCTTTCAATTTACTCGCGTTTATTCGATACTTTCTTTCAATTTTTCACTCGCGTTCTATGGAAGTTTTGTTCGATAGTAGAGTCTAAAGTAATATCAATTCGCGATTTCTCCCCCTCTAAATGAATCGCGTTTCGAAGCACTTTTCGCGACGCCCATTCCACAGTGACTCACAAAGTGTGAGTCTGTGAGTCTTGGGAAATCAACGCTTGGAGGAAGGATGACCATCTGAGAGGAAGGAAGGAAGGAAGGAAGGAAGGATGCAACGAAATCGACATTGCAGAGCCCAGCTGCCTAATCTTCGAATTGTGAGTGACAAAAATGGGTTTTTTTTCTGGTGATATGGGTAGTTAGTTGTGTTATATATTGTGCTGCCCCTAATTAAACCGTCTCACTAGTGTTTCGCAATTAATAATCGATTTTTACGAGAAGTGTTCAATTTTTCAAAATATTAGAGTCAGTGAATCGCGTATTGAAATAATAGCTTCATCCCTAGTTCGACTTATTATTGCATATTTTTCCGCGTTTATCTGATATTTCCTCCCAATTCGCGTTTTTGCTTTTTATTCAATTTACTCGCGTTTATTTCATACTTCTTCACTCGCGTTCTATCAAAGTTTTGTTCGATAGTAGAGTCTAAAGTAATATAAATTCGCGGTTTCTCCCTCTCTAAATAAATCGCGTTTCGAAGCACTTTTCGCGTCGCCCATTCCACAGTGACTCACAATTCGTGAGTTTGTGAGTCTTGGAAAATCAACGCTTGGAGGAAGGATGACCATCTGAGAGGAAGGAAGGAAGGAAGGAAGGATGCAACGAAATCGACATTGCAGAGCCCAGCTGCCTGTCTGCGAACTGTGAGTGAATTTTTTGAGGGTTTGGTGATTGGTTATATATGTGTGTGCATGTGCATGTTTGAAGCTGAACTACCAAAACTTGGAAGAAGAAATCAAAGGATGTGAGTTCACATCCGAACTCTACTGCACTAAAGGTGCAAACGCCCTCCCATTATTAGAGTATCCCAATAGTATACCGCGTTAATTCTTAATAGAGTCAATTTTCACTACGAATGCCCATTACTTTCGATCGATACGAGAATTTATTACGTCGCGCCGCGTTTCATAATAGCTTCATCCCTTTTTCTTTCTTTGCTTTTCTTTTTTTCAGAGCGTTCAGTTGATACCTCCCTTAAACCTTTGCTAAATACCCCATCTAAAATGGACTACATGAGAAAATGGAGGATGGTAAAAATTCGCGATTTCGGGTACTAAATAAAATTCAACGAATTAAACTACACTTAAAAGAAATCGCGATCCGTACACAATTTCGCGCGACACTTCCACAGCTTCCTAAGTCTGGTGGGTCCTTCAGTCTGGCTTTGGGTCTCTCAATCTGGCATTGGGTCTTCCAATCTGGCATTGGGTTATTCAAACTGGCATTGGGTCATTCAAACTGGCTTTGGGTCATTCAACTCTGGCTTTGGGTCATTCAACTCTGGCTTTGGGTCATTCAACTCTGGCTTTGCACTTGAAAGAAATCGCGATCCGTACACAATTTCGCGCGACACTTCCACAGCTTCCTAAGTCTGGTGGGTCCTTCAGTCTGGCTTTTTGGTCTCTCAATCTGGCTTTTTGGTCTTTCAATCTGGCTTTTTGGTCTCTCAATCTGGCTTTTTGGTCTCTCAATCTGGCATTGGGTCCTTCGATCTGGCTTTTTGGGTCTTTAAATCTGGCTGTGGATCTCTCAATCTGGATTTGGGTCTCTCGATCTGGCTTTGGATCTTTAAATCTGACATTGGGTCACTCAATCTGGCATTGGGTCACTCAATCTGGCTTTGGATCTTTAAATCTGGCATTGGGTCACTCAATCTGGCTTTGGATCTTTGAATCTGGCTTTGGATTTTTAAATCTGGCTTTGAGTCACTCAATCTGGCATTGGACCACTGGT